CGCCAAACCCACTGGCTCCAGGCCATCTATAAATCACTGCTAGGCAAATCCCTGCCTTATATTAGCTCATTGGTCACCATAGCAACACCCACCCGTAGTATGCGCTCCAGCAGGTATATCTCACTGGTCATCCCCAAAGCCAACACCTCCATTGGCCGCCATTCCATCCAGTTCTCTGCTGCCAATGACTGGAACGAATTGCAAAAATCTCTGTAGCTGGAGACTCTTATCTCCCTCACTAACTTTAAGCATCAGTTGTCAGAGCACCTTACCGATCACTGCACCTGTACACAGCCCATCTGAAATTAGCCCACCCAACTACCTCATCCCCATATTGTTATTTATTTTGCTCATTTGCACCCTAATATCTCTATTTGCACATCATCTCTTGCACATCTATCATTCCAGTGTTAATACTAATTGTAATTATTTTGCACTATGGCCTATTTATTGCCTTACCTCCATAACTTGCTACATTTGCACACACTGTATACAGTGATGGAAAAAAGTATTTGATCCCCTGCTGATTTTGTACATTTGCCCACTGACAAAGAAATGATCAGTCTATAATTTTAATGGTAGGTTTATTTTAACAGTGAGAGACAGAATAACAACAAAATAATCCAGAAAAACGCATGTCAAAAATGCTCTAAATTGATTTGCATTTTAATGAGGGAAATAAGTATTTGAACCCCTCTCAATCAGAAAGATTTTTGGCTCCCAGGTGTCTTTTATACAGGTAACGGGCTGAGATTAGGAGCACACTCTTAAAGGGAGTGCTCCTAATCTCAGCTTGTTACCTGTATAAAAGACACCTGTCCACAGAAGCAATCAATCAATCAGATTCCAAACTCTCCACCATGGCCAAGACCAAAGAGCTCTCCAAGGATGTCAGGGACAAGATTGTAGACCTACACAAGACTGGAATGGGCTACAAGACCATCGCCAAGCAGCTTGGTGAGAAGGTGACAACAGTTGATACGGTTATTCGCAAATGGAAGAAACAAAAGAACTGTCAATCTCCCTCGGCCTGGGGCTCCATGCAAGATCTCACCTCGTGGAGTTGCAATGATCATGAGAACGGTGAGGAATCAGCCCAGAACTACACGGGAGGATCTTGTCAATGATCTCAAGGCAGCTGGGACCATAGTCACCAAGAAAACAATTGGTAACACTCTATGCCGTGAAGGACTGAAATCCTGCAGCGCACGCAAGGTCCCCCTGCTCAAGAAAGCACATATACAGGGCCGTCTGAAGTTTGCCAATGAACATCTGAATGATTCAGAGGAGAACTGGGTGAAAGTTTTGTGGTCAGATGAGACCAAAATCGAGCTCTTTGGCATCAACTCAACTCGCCGTGTTTGGAGGAGGAGGAATGCTGCCTATGACCCCAAGAACACCATCCCCACCGTACAACATGGAGGTGGAAACATTATGCTTTGGGGGTGTTTTTCTGCTAAGGGGACAGGACAACTTCACCGCATCAAAGGGACGATGGATGGGGCCATGTACCGTCAAATCTTGGGTGAGAACCTCCTTCCCTCAGCCAGGGCATTGAAAATTGGTCGTGGATGGGTATTCCAGCATGACAATGACCCAAAACATACGGCCAAGGCAACAAAGGAGTGGCTCAAGAAGAAGCACATTCAGGTCCTGGAGTGGCCTAGCCAGTCTCCAGACCTTAATCCCATAGAAAATCTGTGGAGGAAGCTGAAGGTTCGAGTTGCTTAACGTCAGCCTCGAAACCTTAATGACTTGGAGAAGATCTGCAAAGAGGAGTGGAACAAAATCCCTCCTGAGATGTGTGCAAACCTGGTGGCCAACTACAAGAAACGTCTGACCTCTGTGATTGCCAACAAGGGTTTTGTCATCAAGTACTAAGTCATGTTTTGCAGAGGGGTCAAATACTTATTTCCCTCATTAAAATGCAAATCAATTTATAACATTTTTGACATGTGTTTTTCTGGATTTCTTTGTTGTTATTATGTCTCTCACTGTTGAAATAAACCTACCATTAAAACTATAGACTGATCATTTCTTTGTCAGTGGGCAAACGTACAAAATCAGCAGGGGATCAAATACTTTTTTCCCTCACTGTATATATTTTCTGTTGTATTTTTGACTTCATGTTTTGTTTTACCCCATATGTAACTCTGTGTTGTTGTTTTTATCGCACTGCTTTGCTTTATCTTGGCCAGGTCGCAGTTGTAAATGAGAACTTGTTCTCAACTGGCTTACCTGGTTAAATTAAGGTGAAATAAATAAACAAAACAAATCTGGCCACTCTACCATAAAGGCCTGATTGTTGGAGTGCTGCAGAGATGGTTGTCCTTCTGGAATGTTCTCCCATCTCCACAGAGGAACTCTAGAGCTCTGTCAGAGTGACGGCCAGCTCTAGGAAAAGTCTTGGTGGTTCCAAACTTCTTCCATTTAAGAATGATGGAGGCCAATGCTGCAGAAGTGGACTCCAATCAAGTTGTAGAAACATCTGAAGGATGATCAATGGAAACAGGATGCACCTGAGCTCAATTTCGAGTCTCATAGCAAAGGGCCTGAATACTTATGTAAATAAGATATTTCTGTTTGTATTTTTTAATAAATTTGCAAACATTTCTAAAAACCTGTTTTCGCTTTGCCATTATGGGGTATTGTGTGTAGATTGCTGAGGATTTTTATTTATTTAATCCATTTTAGAATAAGGCTTTAACGTAACAAAATGTGGAAAAAGTCAAGGGGTCTGAATACTTTCCGACGGCACTGTACATTTTATGACACAGTTGGAAAACTAACAGGTCTGTGAGAGCCGGAATTCTTACTGGTTGGTAGGTGATCAAATACTTATGTCATGCAATAAAATGCAAATTAATTACTTAAAAATCATACAATGTGATTTTATGGGTTTTTGTTTTAGATTCCGTCTCTCACAGTTGAAGTGTACATATGATAAAAATTACAGACCTCTACATGCTTTGTAAGTAGGAAAACCTGCAAAATCGGCAGTGTATCAAATACTTGTTCTCCCCACTGTATGGACAGTACCAAAACAAATGATCTAATGATTCTGTCTCTTCACAGCTAAATCTGCGGAGCTGGGATGGTTGTATCCCCAATATATATAACATTCAAGAATCGGTACATCGAAAATCTCTTCCCAACAATTTTGCAATCTATATGGCACAGCTATCAATATTTTGGTCCTTAAATTAATAATTTAGCAGAGGCTCTTATCCAGAGCGACTTACAGGAGCAATTAGGGTTAAGTGCTTTGCTCAAGGGCACATCGACAGATTTTTCACCTAGTTGGCTCGGGGATTAGAACCAGCGACCTTTAGGTTACTGACACAACACTCTTAACCACTAAGCTACCTGCCTATACTTTTTTATTCATCACAATTTTCTTTAACCAATTTTACCTTAACTTAACCCTTAACTTAAGGAGATGTGAAACCCCCAGCCCGACTGCAGTGTTTTTGGTTTCACTTTTGCGGAGTTAAGTAACAGTGTCTCAACCTAAACGTCAAAAACCAACATTTACCTTGACTTCACCCATAGACGTTTGGAAAAACGTGGACAAACATCACATTTCTAATTCAAACTGTGATACTTTGTTGCGCACACACACACACAATAGAGAGTGCGATGGATGGATGGATGGATGGATGGATAAGACATGAAGAAGGCCATGAGGAGGGTGAGTAGGAGGACAGAGGTGTGTATTTTTATTCTCTCCATCTTTATAGACATCTCCATTGTCTATAAGAGATCTATGTTGTAGGCTCTTCGGGACAGGATGACTTATTATTGGCCAAATGGCTCATGGATAAAACAAGGGATGAGCAAAGATTGTCTATTATATTGACAAGATATTCAAGTGACCGCTCTAACAATGGAAATACAGGGGGAGGCGAGATCATGTGGGGCCATTCTAGCCAATGAGGGGGCAGATACGCGTTAGAACAACAGGCCATAGAGATAGATAGAGGACTCATCTGTGCCATTATAGCATCTGTGACAGCATGGGCAGTGCCATTGAGGCTATCTCCAGTTTTAAGTAGACCATTTTCTTCTTCTTCTTTGGCTGATTGCTCCCAACTCATAGGAACCCCCACCCAGTTGACTACATTAAAGTGGTGGAAGCCCTCCATGGCAATGTCCATGCTAAAATGGGTTATATCCATGATGAGTCCTCTATCTATCTCTATCACAACAGGCACAACTCCGATATAAAGTATGTTTAGTTTATGTTGCTGAAATGCCACGTGCGTCCACTTATATCCGTGTATTCGTAACAACCGAACCATTACGAAACTTCTATTCCATCAAATAAGCCTCACATAGCAAATGAGCAATTCCATTTTTTGTTGACCAAATTCGACACTCTCTCATTGACCTCCAGACAAAAAATGATTCACTTCATGGACAGATTTTGGGCGGAGTAAAACCTCTCTGGATGAGGGAGGAGGAGGTAGAGGAGGAGATCCTAGCACCAGGATGAAAGAGGAATTCAAAGGTCAAAGTCTAGATGATGACGCAACCTTGACCTGTCCTCTAAGTTCACTATCTAACCAGATATCTGCGGTCTGGCCAATGGCAGGTATGGGCAGCAAAAAGGGTTACAAGAGAAGGGGGGATTTTGAGTGACAAGGGTTTCAAAAAAGATAGAGCTAGAGAGTGTGCTCCCTCTACATCTTAATGTAGTGGCAGTGCAATTCACTGAGGTGTATTGTGGTTGCTTTGATGTTGTAATGGCGAGGAGCAGTGGTGGTTAGGGCTCAAGATATAAGTTGCCCAAAACAACAGATCTAGGATCAGATTATCCTACCCCTGATCCTTTATAACCATTAGGGGACCGAAAAAACAACATCTGACCTTAGATCAGTACTTAGGGAACAACCTCTATCTATACTTGGTGGCGCGAGGCCCATGCAATATACGGAAGCTGTAGCAGAGAGGGGGTGAGGGAGAGAAGGAAAGGGGGTGAGAGTGGGGGAGGAGTGCTAGTTTAGCTTTAGCAGTGAGGGGTTGTAGGAGGAGAGGGCGAGGCCGGTTTTGGTAAGGGAGGGGGGTTGGGAGGTATTCAACTCACCAGAAAGCTGCTGAACTCCTGGCTGGTCATGTGTGCTTAGCAACTGGCCCTGAATCGTCTCTACCACCCGCTTGAAGCGCCGGCTGGGTCCTACACACACACACAGACACACACACACACACACACACACACACACACACACACACACACACACACACACACACACACACGCAGGCACACAAACACATGATTGCAATAGACAAGGGGAGAACCAGGTTAGTCATTCTGTACTCACACACACACAAAGGTACACAGGAACATGAAAAAGGCCGAACAGGGTAGGAGACAAATTAAGAGAAAGACAGAAAGCAGAGAAAGACAGAAAGCGGAGAAAAAAGGAGAAAGGAATGAAGAGGAAAAGGAAGGAAGGAAAGGAATAGGAAAAAACAAAGGAGGGGTCAAAAGAGGAGAGGGAAAGAGTAGGGAGGAGTGTAAGAAAACAAGGGGGTTAGAGTGGAGGAGGAGGGAGGAGTGTTAGGATAGATCATGGAGAGGAAAAAGAGAGTGTGGCTGCGTGCGGTCTCCTGTAACCACTACCATCAGAAAAGCAGCGGGATCCAAATGGCCTATGATTAGTACCAGGGAAAGTGTCCTCTCCCTCCAATCTGGTCCCATGGAGCACACACACACACTGTGAAAGACACAAACACACACATACATGCACACACAAACATGTGCACACAAACACACGTGTGTTTGTGCTTGTCTGCATGTGTGTGTGCATCCCTGCGCGTGTGTGTGTGTGTGTGCTGTCTTTATCTGTCCTTGTGTGTGTGTTGCTTGCCTGCATGTGTGTCTAAATACCTGCCTGTGTGCGCGTGTTTGTGTGCATGAGTGTATGTGTGCATGCATGCTTGTGCATGTCCGTGTACCTGAGAGCAGGGTGAAGGTGACAGAGTAGATGCCGTTCCCCTTGGTGGCGGCAGTGCTCTCTGTGTAGGTGATGTCCACCTGGAACTTGACTGGCTTCTGGAAGACCGTGGGGCCGGCTGTGGACTTGTACTCTGCCCGGAAACTCGTCTGGCTGATCACACTGTGGCTGAGACTGGGGATCTGGAAGAGCGATACATATTTTTTATAGTTTTATTTTATAGTTATGAAGTGGACATTCTGAATCAAGAGATAAGAAATACAAGGGGGAATCAAGAAGAGAGAGAGGAAAGAGAGACTGAAGAAAAGGAGAGAGAGTTGAGGGAGGGTGAGAGAGAGAGATCTGCTAAAATGACTAAAATAAAATGAATAAATACATGGGGGAGAGAAACAGAGAGAGGAAGAGGTGGAGAGAGACATTGTGTGGCTCCTGAGGAAAGAAATAGGGATAGAGAATCAGAGAGAGGGAATAGAGAGTGAGGAGCATATAGAGAGAGGGAGAAAGTGTCACAGAGAACGACTCACTCGCTCAATTGAGTGAAGCGATTACAAATCGAGAATTACTTTCAGCTTTTTGCCACATACCTCTTATATAAATGACAGGTTGAATAAAACGTCATTCAAATTACCCTGATGCAACCAAGCACAGATTAAACTCTAACCAGATTACAATGTCAGTACATCTGACAGTGACGTTATCTGCATCCCAAATGGCACCCTATTTCATATAGTGCACTACATTTGAACAGGGCCCATAGGGCTCTTGTCAAAAGTAGTGCACCATATAGGGAATAGGATGCCATTTGGAACGCAACTTCAGGCTAATGCTTCAGTCAACCCCGCCAACACTCAGCTCTATCCCAAATTGTCATGTTTCACTAAACTGCTGCCAAGAGTTTGATTAATGCTAGAGTGCTGAGGAGTATAATCACACCTATTCAGGTGCCAATCTACTGTCTAGGACAACAAGCATATGCTAGGGGAGAAAATAGCTACCTCTTAGGAATAGAAGATTCGTTTGCCATTGACCTACAGTGGAGCAAGAGTTTCCATTTGCTATAAGACCTTGTTAAAGCTGTGAGTAAAATGTTAAATGTGCTTCTCTGTTGGCTTGCACTGAAAACCGTCTTTTACTATTCACTCACTGGCTTTGGAGATGCAGTGAAGCACAGAGAGAGAGAGAGAGAGAGAGAGAGAGAGAGAGACCTCAATGCTGCCTGTAGTCTCACACACACACACACACAAACATGCACACACACGCACGCACACACACACACACATCTCCTCGATACACGGCATTCGGGGCAAAGCATCTATATGCTAATGATCAGTGGTCCTTGTTGATTTCTATTGACTTGGTATGCGTCCCAAATACCACCCTATTCCCTATATAGTGCACTACTTTTGACCAGGACCCACAGCGCTCTGGTCAAAAGTAGTGCACTATGTAGGGGAAAGGGTGCCATTTGGGACATCCCCCTGGACTACAGAGTGCCATTCAGAAGGAAAATGGGAGGGATAGCAACACAATCAGCTTACTGAATGGCTAGATAAATCAGAAACATGTAAGCACACACAAACACACTCACACATGTACACATGCGCACACACATACATATGCACGTACACACTCACAGATCCGCGCACACACACGCGCCTCTAGGCTAAACCAATCAACATTGGTGTTATAATGGTAAAATACCTTCTTAGGCTGATAGCAGGTATTGGGGCTAAACTGCAACATACCTGCAACACACGCATATACACTGAATGTACAAAACATTAGGAACACCTTCCTAATATTGAGTTGCATCCCCTTTTGCCCTCAGAACAGCCTCAATTTGTCAGGGCATGGACTCTACAAGGTGTCGAAAGCGTTCCACAGGGATGCTGGCCAATGTTGACTCCAATGCTTCTCACAGTTGTGTCAAGTTGGCAGGATGTCCTTTGAGTGGTGGACCATTCTTGGTACACATGGGAAACTGTTGAGCGTGAAAAACCCACCAGAGTTGCAGTTCTTGACACATTCGAAACGGTGCGCCTGGCAACCTACTACCATACCCCGTTCAAAGGCACATAAATATTTTGTCTTGCCCATTCACCCTCTGAAAGGCACACATACACAATCCATGTCTCAATTGTTTCAAGGTTTTAAAATATATTCTCTAACCTGTCTCCTCCCCTTCATCTACACTGATTGAAGTGGACATCAATAAGGCATCATAGCAGTCGCCTGGACTCACCTGGTCAGTCTATGTCATGGAAAGAGCAGGTGTTCCTAATGTTTTGTACACTCAGTGTATATCCATAATGATATAGGAAATACATTCTGTAGAAAGGAGAAGAAGGGAATAAGAGGAGAGGAGGAGAGAGAGGGAGAGCAGAGTGGAGGGGAGTGAGAGTGAGGATGGAGAGGTAGGGAGGCCGGAGAGAAGGAAGGAGGCAGGATAGCAAAGTAGGAGTGAGAAAATGTGGTGAATGACTGAATGAGAAGTGGCAGAGAGCAGAAAATAAAATCAGTAAAGGAGAGGGAAAGAGACATGGAGAGGTAGAGTAAGAGGGCACACCGAGAGAAAGGTTTGAGGAAGGAGAGAGAGAGAAACTAAAGAGGGAGGAGAGCAAAAAGAAGGAGTGAGAGAAAGGGGTAGAGAGGGTGTACGTACTGAGAGAAAGGCATGGACGATGTCAGCCTTGATAGAGCTCAGAGGCTTGTCTTTGATCAAGATAAAGATCTGTTCCTCTTTATCCAGGTTGATGAAGTTACCGAACCAGGATTTTTTGGCAAGTCTGCAAGGAGGGGAGAAAACGTTAGATTGACACAGTTGATCACATTACATGTTTTATTGAAACAAATACCTATGGGCTGAAGATTCATAACCTCAAATTTGGACTGTTTGCACATTTTACATACATTTAACCCTTTACACTTCTACCTGTATATGGGTTGAAAATGGCAGATTTGGGCACTGACAAGCTGCTAAATTGGAACGCCGTGGCTGTACAGTAATATGCTTTAAAAGACGCCAGAGCTCAGGCTCTGCGCTTCACAGTGCTGTATGGGTTTTGACTGACAGCTGTTCTGAACTTGAGCACCGCACGCGAAAACAAGTTGTCCCCAACTTTTGATTTGTTGAAAGATGAGACGTTGAGAAGAATAATAAACACTGCTTTGATGTCACACAGGCAAGCCAAACACCTGTGAGTCCAAATGTGCACTTCACATTTACATGTCCTCAAACTCGTCAACATTTATGGATCACTATGTTTGATGTACAGTTACAAAATGACAGGGTGTCATACCCTGGGATGTTCTGAACAGAATGACCCTATGTTATTCTATTGTGAAGAGAATTTGCCACAGAACACTCACCTGAATGCGCTCATGACAAAATTACGATCTTTCTCTGAATTGCCGTGTGAAAGCTTAACACAGTAAGATCGTATTTTATAAATGATACTGAACAAAATATAAACGCAACATGCAACAATTTCAAAGATTATACTGAGTTACAGTTCATACGAGGAAATCAGTCAATTGAAATGAATTCATTAGGTCCTAATCTATGGATTTCACATGACTGGGAATACAGATATGCATCTGTTGGTCACAGATACCTTAAAAAAATGGGCCTCAGAATGGGCCTCAGGATCTCGTCACGGTATTTCTGTGCATTCAAATTGCCATTGATAAAATTATAATTGTGTTCATTGTCCATAGCTTATGCCTGCCCATACCATAACCCCACCCCCACCATGAGGCACTCTGTTCACAATGTTGACATCATCAAACTGCTCGCCCACACGACGCAATACAAATGGTCTGCGAATGTGAGGCCGGTAGGACGTACTGCCAAATTCTCTAAAATGACATTGGCTTATGGTAGAGAAATTAACATTCAATTATCTGGCAACAGTTCTGGTGGATTCCTGCAGTCAGCATGCCAAATGCACACTCCCTCAAAACCTGAGACATCTGTGGCATTGTGTTGTGTGACAAAACTGCACATTTTAGAGTGGCCTTTTATTGTCCCCAGTACAAGGTGCACCTGTTTAATGATCATGCTGCTTAATCAGTTTCTTGATATGCAACACCTGTCATGGTGGATGGATTCTCTTGGCAAATGAGAAATGCTCACTAACAGGGATGTAAACAAATTTGTGCACAAAATTTGAGAGAAATAAGCTTTTTGTGCGTATGATAAATTCTGGGATATTTTATTTCAGGTCATGAAACATGGGACCAACACTTTACATGTTGCATTTATATTTTTGTTCAGTGTAGCTAGTCATGTTGGCAGTAGAACAAGCTTTCAAATGATGCCGCTTGATCCAGATTCCGATTTATAATGGCAGTTTTTGGATTGCGTAAACAGTAACAGTAATGTGTGAAGGCTGGGATGCAGGGATCCAACCAAAACAACTACAAGTGTGCTTGTTCTAGTTCCTCAATGGCACAGCTAGGAGTGCTCAAAAAAGCACCTTATAGTTGAATCATAAAAGTACATTTTACTTAGGAACTGTGCACACTTTAGAAAGGTGCGTGGCCCCTTGGAGACACCAGTTTTTTTGTCTTATGTTGCACCTACCCCACATTTTCCAGGAATGTTCTTGTAATGTTACCTAATGTATTTTCAGATTTTGTTATAAAAAATGCGGCAAAAAGTACAGTAAATGTAAAATGCACATAAAATCAACAGTGTAATGTTTGGGTTCAGTCTTGTGTCAGGTTTTTATTTATCCAGGCAAGTCATTCTTATTTACAATGACGGCCTACCCCAGCCAAACCCGGACGACGCTGGGCCAGTTGTGCACTGCCCTATGGGACTCCCAATCACGGCCGGATTGTGATACAGCCTGGAATCGAACCAGGGTCTGTAGTGACGCCTCTAGCGCTGAGATGCAGTGCCTTAGACCACTGCGCCAACTTTGGTCTAATAATCTGCCCATAATATCCAAACTGTTCCTTTTCAATTGCTGCCATGCTTATGCAAATGATTTTCATATTTCTTCTGTAAGAAACATTTCCATTTAGCCCTATCCATATAGACCAAATCCCACAAGTGTAAAGGGTTAACATTTTGGAAATTCTATCCCAAACTGGGCGTGAACTCATAATCCTAACACAACTCAAGTCAAGAGGATTCATCAGCTATCTAGCACAGTTTCCCAATCCAATAGGGTGCACATTTATTTTATTGACATATCAAGACAAGTCCCCAAGCTTGTCTTAAAGCAGCGGCCATTGCGCTGTCCCAATCAAAACAGTGCTGAAATTATAGCTGACCACACACGCTATTGCTTTAACTTCTTTAAAATCGTTGGATGACATTGGGAGTTTAATATGGAACAATTTGATACATGTCTTCAACGGCATAAACCTACTGTAAAATGTTATTAATAGCTGGGCGTTTATTTGCTTCAACGAGATGAAAAAAACCACCGCTTATTAGAGACAGGCATCTACAGTATTTCCTTAATGCACAAAGACTTTGCTCAATAAAATGTTGAAAAGACTACCACACTGTTTATTGTGTCCAATATGACCAGTATAAACATTATAATAACTAATCCATCGCAGATCAGACTTGCAAAGACATACACCCCCGATTTCGCGCTCTGGTGCCATTCTCTCACTTGTTGCGCCTCATTGAGCCTTGTGTCCCCGTAGTTGCAACGCGATCTAGACTTCAGAATTCTATGTTTGTCCAGGTCCCCAGGACATCGAGAGATGCATTCAATATCGTCCTCTAGGGACAATTTAACCGTGAAGTGTTTTATGCTTAACCGTCAAGTTCTTTCTGTTTCAACAACCTTAACCCTTAACTTCTTTCACTTCACCCATAGACATTTATTCCCCCCTGGACAAATGTGGAATACTGAAGTGAGACAGTGAGATCTTGTTGCTAGTTGAGCCACATGTCAAACCACACTGCGGTTTCATCCATGACAACCAATGATATTGCTCTCCTTTCTCTTCTTTTGCAGTCTTTATGGTACTCAATAAAGTCCACTTGTAAACAATTAATTGAGTCCCGCTGTTTATTTGAAACAGGCGTTTATTTGATGAAATGTTTCCTGATGCCCAGGTATTTAAACGGACAGGCTGCTATCTGAGACTAAGCGTTTAATTGAGGTTTTACGGTACTTTACTCCAACATTTTTATAATTCAGTGATATTCATTCCCACAGTAATTGGTTAATTAATTCTTGATCCATCCAGTTGTGGTTAAGATAAAGTGAATGCATAGTGGTGGGCTTTGCGAAGTGATAGGCGAAGTGACATGCCTCGCAAACTTTAGAACTGCCACGAGGATGGTAACAGCCTAGTAACAGGCGCTGTCTAGCAACCTTCATTATGAAGCATCAAATCTCATGATCCAGCAGCATTGCTTACGCCACACCTAGCTACGACCAGAGCCATATGGCTCTGGCTACGACTATTCTTATTTTTGGTTGGTGCAACGTGTAAATTCTGATCACAAAGTCGGAAGTAACTACGCCCAACCTAGCATTTAAGACCAACTTCATAGGGTAAAGAGGAGAGAGAGAGGGCTCAGCAGATGGCCCTGCTGGTGGAGAAAAATCGTTTTTTCATAATTTCTATTTTATAAACTGGGGAAACAAAAGGGAATATGTCCCGAGGTAAATGAGGCGTTTCAGAGAAGGGGAGAATGTTTTCTAACATTTGCCTTCTGTGCTGCAGGAAAGAGCAGAGAGATAGAGAGACAGAGACAGAGAGAGAGACAGAGAGACAGAGAGACAGAGAGACAGAGAGACAGAGAGAGAGAGACAGACAGACAGACAGACAGACAGACAGACAGACAGACAGACAGACAGACATACAGACAGAGAGAGAGAGAGAGAGAGAGAGAGAGAGAGAGAGAGAGAGAGAGAGAGAGAGAGAGAGACTATGATTACAGCACAGTAGACTATATGATTACAGACATTGACCCTTTCTCTCTCAGCTCATTCACCGTCAAGCCACTAACACCTCTGTCTGATCACAGCCAAATTACGTTGTTCCTCAAAAGAACGGACATGGAAACAACCACACATTCACAGCCCAGTAAGCTGTACAACATCAGAAATGCATACAGATAGGCACAGAAGAATACCAGAAAGCAACCAGTAACCAAAATATCCAAACAAGCTTAGATAACTTTCTGGATACCACATTCACTCACAGTACAGAAGGCATCAATATAGCAGTAAAAAATAAAACTATATATTCAGGCAAACGGCAAAAGAAGCACAACTGAAATTGATAAAAAACTAAACAAAAAAGACCACAGATGACAACTGGTTTGATGCAGATCGTAAAATTATAAGGAAAAACTTAGAGCACTATCAAACCAAAAGCACAGAGACCCAAATAATGGTGAATTACGCCTTCATTACTGTGAGACCTTAAAACTCTATAAATGTACACTTAGAACCAATAAAGCACAGTACAACAGAAAGCAGCTGACACTAACTGAGGTGTCCATAAACACAAACATCTGACAAAATTGAAAAAAAATGAAAAAAAATCAAAACAAGAGGAATTAGCGATACAAAATGGTGACATATGGACAACACATTTTAAAACACTCTACAACACCGTTCAAATTAACACAAACGCAGTACAATGCCAAATTCATGAGAAGTTGAATGGATTAGAAAAAGCTATAAAGGACAATCAAAATCCATTGGACTCCCCAATTACTGACCAGGAGCTCTATAAGAAACTTCAAATTTAAAAAAGCATGCAGACTTGATGGCATCCTAAATGAGATGCTCAAATTCA